ATAGTTCCATTACCCTACTTCAGCTCAAGAAACTCGATCTCCTTCTTCTCACGCACATCCTCTGGAAAATATTTCTCCTAAAATGCATCTCTGAAAAGTGCCAAAGTAACCTCAATCTCATCCTCTTCAATCCTTTGAACAATGTTACTCCACCAATCCTCAGCTTCCTTCTCAAGCATATGGGTGCCAAACTGCACCTTCTGTGCATCAGAACAATTCATGACCCAAAAGATATTCTCAATTGCTTTCAGCCATACTTGTTCCTTTCCAGGTTCATGAGTTCCTTAAAAGATTGGTGAATTTTTCCTCTGAAACTTCTCCAAAGCACGAAATTCATCATCATCCTTGCTACCAGCATGACGTGCGACATTTTCCCAATCGCACCAACCAACATTGCTAACGCCTCAACAATAGCATCATCATTCCTTCCTGCAACCATCGTCTTGAGATTCTCAAACAACCAACAATTCTCATCAGAAAAACAGTACCAATTGTGTCATATACACACATCGAATACAAAAAAGAAATAAACACATTAATAACCTGGCCAACTAGTCGACCAAGCTCTGATACCACTAATATAACACCCTCTAAACTCCTGCACAAATATATAGCATAATCAAACTAAATTAGCATGCATATCAAAGAGGGCGTCACATTTACTTCAAAATATAAACACAAAATACACTGGTCATGCTCATAACACACATTTAAAATCATATTCCATACACTAACACATATGTATCTCACAGCATAATAATTCTCTTTTCAAATGATATCAATAATTGAATCTCATCAATAGAAACAATGTATTAAAATATTAGGCACTAAAGGCCACTATCACATAATCTCAATACACAATAACATAAAAGACAGTATAACAAACTATCTCTCAAAATAAACATGAATTCAAACGTTTTCCCGTGTTACATGACCAGAGCATGACTCACTACCTAAATAAGGATAAACAAAGAACTAGCTCCTCCAACAAATCCTTGCTAGAAGCACCACTATCTACGGTACTTGAGCGATGTCGTACAAAACATCATTCCAACAGAAGGGTGATAATTCATATCATTATAGAAATATATGATAATAAGTAATGCATAACATACATACTTCCACTGAATTCATCACACTTCACATAATCATGTATTCAATATATTCCAATCCAATTCACATGTTTACTTATACAACATTGCTCAACAATCCATAATTCAAAGATAATCAATCACACATACCACAAATGTAATATTCACACCAATATCACATATTTCACACCAATTCAACATTTCACATTGACACATGTGACTAAAATGCGACTCAATACAATATGCATGTGGTACCAATTGTTATCTTTAACGGTTTTTACGTCTAAACCGTGTCTATCCCTCAGACAGATAACCACCAAAAATCCCGTCCCTAAGCTTCAAATCAATCCCCTAGGTTTGGAACAACTCACTAGCTTCCACAAAACTAACAAACATTGCTTCATGACAACAAATGATGCATGCGAAATCTCAACAATCATATGAAATTAAGACAATCTCTCAATCTTAATCATACAAACATATATCACCTAATTAATCACATTTGAATCATCATCACCATTGCACAAACATACATATCTCATGTTATCAATCACATAAAATGCATTCTCATAACATTAATCAACTCAACACACCACAATAACACATAACAAACAATGCTCAAACATGTTATTCTCATTCATCATCAATTCACAATATACATATACATAAATTCGAGTGTTATGCTTTTATCAAAAGTCATCCAAAACCCATCAAATACACATAAAATAAATTATTAAAATTCATGGAAATATTTTATAAATCATAAGCATACAAGACCCCCAATTAATTTAACAAAATATAAAATTTTGCATTACAGGTCACACTAAGCACGCTATTTGGCGCTAAACGCCCTCAACTCAGTAGCTTTTGTGTTGAGCACGCTCTGTGATTTGTTCAGAAAAATATGTGATGGAAGCAACACACCAGTCTGAGTTTTTAACTCCAAAAAGCCATTTTTCATCAATTAAACACATTATGACCTAAATCTAACATATAGTATCACATACAAACTTCAAAACATGATTCAAACATCAATTTCATGATTTCTCATTCAAACCCTAACATGTCAAAATCTAGAAATTGAAATGTAAATCTCTAAATCATGCTTACTACCTATTAAACACATCATATACTCCCACAATTAAATGAAAACTCACCCTTACCTTGGATGTAGATCATTTTCTAAGGTTCTATCTTCTTCTCTTCTCTTTTCTCTCTTTTCTCCTCTTTTCCTCTTTCTTCTCTTCTCTTGTTTTGACAACTTCTCTCTTACTAACTCTATTTCTCCTTGTTTTATCAAAACCTATGTTTCACTAATGGGCTTAATGTCTCATTCTCACACTAACTTATCATACCAAGACCCAATTAATTAATAATATTATTCTTACACCCAATAATCCAATACACATATAACCCATATATTCACAAAATCACACAATTAATTAATTACTATATTAAATAATAATTAATTAAATAAACAACTAACAAAATAACTAAAATAAAATCACAGTGTTACTGGATGCAAGTGGCGAGATCAAGATTCAATGGCTGTTTGAATTTGATACAAGTTATTAATTAGAGTTTCGACACTGGTAAAGAGCAGCAAGGTTGTTGATGGTTAAATTGGTATCAATACGGTTTAAAGTCAAGGTGGACATTGTTGTAATGTTCCTTAAAATATTTGTTGATTAAGAGAAAGAAAATATGTTTCGAGATTGCCAAAAAATCATAAAGTCAAAAAGTAGTCTGGTCCGAACGGTTCACGGGTATTGGGTTCAGTCGGTTCAGTTCTGTGATCCATTCATTAATGTTAAAATATTTTATACTAATTTGGAGATCATATAAATTAATATAAAAATATATTATAAGATATATATTTATAGTATTATAAAAGATATTATAAGACATATATTTATAATAGTCTAAGAGATATTATAAGATATTTATAATATTTGAGAGATATTATAAGATTATAATAATATATTTTATTCTAACAATTAATGAGATATCTTTTGGGATTTGTTATGTATTTGTTGGATTTTGGCTATTATAAATATGTATCTAGGGATGTCAATGGGGCGGGGCGGAGCCGGGGGACACTTCCCCATCTTTTTCCCGCCATCAAATTCATTCCCCGTCCCCGATCTCCGTCACGGAGGAATTTCTATCTCCATCCCCGTTCCCCGCGGATCCCCGTTCCCCGCGGGGATCCCCATAGATCCTACATTTATTCATTAATATTTTATTTTTTTAAAATGTTTATATTTTCTATAAAAATAAAAAGCACAAAGAATTCACATATTTATTATGTTATTAAAAAATACTAGTATTTGACATTTATTATTTTTTATTAAAAATACTAATGGAACACAAAATAATAATATTTTTTTTATAAATTTCTATAAAATGCTATAAAATTCAACAAAATAAACTATAATACTTTTTAAAGTAACAATATGCCTACACAAATTATGTTGTTGGACTTTAAAAAATACATGAATATTTACATTTCTCTCTCTTAATAAATACATGAATATTTATTTATTTATTTTTATAAATAAACATAAAGGAAATGATTAAAAAACCTAATCTAAAATATATATATTAAATTAACTATATTAAAATAATAGGCGGGGCGGAGTCCCCGCGGGGCGGGGGGTGTATTCCCCGTCCCCGTCCCCGAAATGCTCTCGGGGGAATTTTTCTCCCCATCCCCGCTCCCACGGGGGAAAATTCCCCATCTTTGGGGCCCCGAACGGGGCGTTCCCCGCGGGGATCCCCATTAACAGGTCCAAACTGACATCCCTATATGTATCTCTTATGTTATTATAGTATGACAATCTTAGAGCTTACAACAACAAGGGAAAGCAGGGGTTTAAAGGCATAACATAGACAGAGTTTTGCATCAACCACCAACCAAACTCTGGTTGCCACCGCTCTACGGACCTCCGCCGTCAAAATTCTGTTCGATTCACCCGACCGCATTGTCGATTTTTTTCTAATCCTAAAAAAATGTTTTTTTTCTTTTGATTACCTAAAGTTTTAAAACATACTTTTATAACTATAATTTCAGTCAAAGATTAAACACTTTTTTCTTCAGCTCCCATTCTGTTCCAAATCCAATGGCTAATAAGCAAGGAAAAAATAATAATAGAGAAGACAAGTAGGTATACAATATGATCTATAAAGGGTAGAATTGCAGCTGAACAAAGGCAGCAGAGGAAAAACTGCAAAGGATCCCTATCCCCATTCTTTACTCCTACACCGTATTCACTATTTATAGTATCATGAATAATGACATGAAAGTAAACAATAACATAAATAAATAGTGACGTGAACAATGGCGTGGACAGTGACCGCAAATAGTGCATGAACAATGGTAATGCACAATTGATTAGTTGAGTGTACAAAAATTGATTAATATAATTTATAATTTGATTAATAAACATCTAGATATTAAAAATAATTTTTAGTAGTAAAATAAAGTTGGTTAATAAAATATAAAATATTAATTATTGAAGTGATGAAATTGATTAACAAACACTCAAATATTAAACATAACTTTTTTTAATAATAAAATAAATTTGGTTATTAAAGTGTACATTATTGATTTATGAAATGACGAAGTTAATTAATTTTATAATATTTATATGGATCCTCTTTAATCTAAATATATATTTTTTATTTTTATATGTATTTTTAATAAAATATTATTTTTTAATAAAACAATGTATGTCGCATTGGTGAATAATAAATACGGTATAATGTTTGTTTTGGGTGTGAAAATATTATTTTTGGTCTCTAAATATATACCAACAAAATCTAGAATTAATTAATTAACATAGTGCAAGATGTATATATACATAGACGATATCGATGTTGTAGCATTAGATTTAGAAGAGGTTAGATATGGAGGAAGAGAAAAGCATTAGAGGGAATGGAGAGAAAGAAAAGGAGAAGAACAATGGGAAGCAACGAGGAGGCATCCGAACATTACCTTTCATCCTTGGTCAGTCCACACAATAATCTCTTAATTTCTTTCATTCATCACTTTTAAATATTTATGCATATTCATATTTGGATTGAATGTATTTTTGATGCAGCAAATGAAGTGTGTGATAGATTTGCGAGTTCTGGTTTTCACGCAAACATGATAAGCTACCTTACACAACAACTCAACATGCCATTGGTTTCAGCTTCAAACACTCTGAGCAACTTTAATGGAGTTTCTAGTTTGACTCCTCTTCTTGGTGCTTTCATTGCTGATTCTTTTGCAGGCAGATTTTGGACCATTGTTGTTGCAACTCTCATCTATGAATTGGTAATTTCTTAATCACTTAACATTTATTATTAAAATATTAAAAATTAAAATATTGGACTTTTTTATATTTGTTGATCTAAGTAAAAAAAAATTTTATTGAAAATTTATTACGAGTTTTCCCAAGTCATTTTTAAATGTATGTTTTGTTTTGTGATTTTTTATTTTCAAAAGTCAAGTTAATTATTATTCTATAAAATTGTTTTCATTATTTATTTTTGAGAAAAAAATTGAGATGCAAATATAAATAGTTAAGCATATTTTAGAGAGAAAAAAAAACACATTTTTTTTAACAACTAATAAAATTTTGACCAACTTTAAAATAATAATTAAAAAAAAAACTTAATCTGCATTAGTTTACAGTAATTTCTTTTACACATACATACAATCAAATCAGATTATATATGAATATTTATTTAATACATTTGATTAGATGTAAAATGATTTTAATATAAAAAAAATTTTCCCAAAAAAAATAGAGGTATATTGTTTGTTGTCAATATATTTTAAAGTTTTTAGTAATATTTTTGTGTGAATCAATTTAATATTTTTGAGGGTTTAAGAGTTATTGGCAATTCTTTATAATTTTTAGTAAAAAACAAACGGATACTTATAAAAATAAAAAATAAGAAAAAATATAACTATTTTGTTAAAATTTATTTAAAAAATAAAACCTATATTTAAATAAAATCTATATTAGACTTTGTCTTTTATTTTCTCTAGTAATTTTTTTTTCTAGCGATCAACTAGAAGTAAAAGGAGGAACATTTTTTATTTTAGTTCTACACCAAATCCTACAACTAAAAGTACTTTTATGGTTAATACAGGGACTTATTACTATAACAATATCAGCTATAATGCCCCAATTTCACCCTCCACAATGTCCAACACAAACAAATTGTGAAGAAGCCAAATCCTCACAACTATGGATACTCTATCTATCACTCTTTCTTGCATCCCTTGGATCAGGTGGCATTAGATCATGTGTTGTACCCTTTTCAGGAGATCAATTTGACATGACTAAAAAAGGTGTTGAATCAAGAAAATGGAACCTCTTCAATTGGTACTTTTTTTGCATGGGATTTGCTACATTAAGTGCTTTAACCATTGTGGTTTATATTCAAGATCACATGGGTTGGGGTTGGGGCCTTGGCATTCCCACCATTGCAATGTTTATATCTATCATTGTCTTTGTTTTGGGCACATCACTCTATAAGACTGTGAAACCAAACGGAAGCCCGTTTGTTCGAGTCGCGCAAGTGATTGTGGCCGCGTTTAAAAAGAGGAACGAGGTATTGCCAAATGATCCTGAGCTTTTATACCAAAATATCGAGCTTGACTCTCCTATAGCGTTGGAAGGAAGACTTTCACACTCGAATCAATTCAAGTAAGTATAAGAGTGATGATGAAACTCTCATTTAGAATGAATTATGGTGCAATCTGTTATCCGTTTGACTGTTATTTCTGTATAATCTTGATTAATTATTTTTACAATGAATTACGACACCAATTTACAAATTCATTACTAGCAAAAATTGATTGTTTTGAAGTTTATATTTGTAGATGGTTAGACAAAGCTGCAATTGTAACAAAGGAAGAAGCGAACAATCCGAATGCAGTACCGATTTTATGGAATATAGTGACTGTCCATAGAGTTGAAGAGTTAAAATGTATGATTAGAATGCTTCCAATTTGGGCATCAGGAATTTTACTCATAACTGCAGCATCACATCAAAGTAGCTTTGTAATCCAACAAGCTCGCATGATGAATCGTCATCTCTCGCATTCATTCCAGCTTTCGCCGGCTAATATGGCAATCTTCAGTGTACTAACTATGATGATAGGTGTTGTTCTCTACGAACGCCTTTTCGTTCCATATGCTCGTAGATTCACAAAGAATCCTACTGGCCTTACATGTTTGCAAAGGATGGGAATAGGCTATGTGATTAACATTACAGGCACTATAGTTGCAGCACTAGTGGAAATTAAGAGAAAAAAAGTTGCTTCCGAATATCATTTATTGGATAATCCGAAAGCGATTATTCCAATAAGTGTGTTTTGGTTGGTACCTCAGTATATTTTGCATGGCGCGGCTGAAGTTTTTATGTCTGTTGGACATTTAGAGTTTCTATACGATCAATCGCCGGAAAGTATGAGGACGAGTGCTACGGCTTTGTACTGCATAGCGACCGCTATTGGAAGCTTTATTGGTACATTGATGGTAACATTAGTGCATAAGTATACTGGTAAAGAAAGGAATTGGTTACCTGATAGAAACCTGAATAGAGGTAGATTGGAGTACTATTACCTTCTTGTTAGTGGGATTCAAGTTATAAACTTCATATATTTTGTAGTATGTGCTTGGTTTTACACTTACAAGCCTGTGGAGGAAATTAGTGAAATAAACAAGCAAGGAGATTTGGAACAGGTGAATGGAGAAGTCTCATTGGTTAGTTTAAAAGAGGGTAAGGAGGATGAAAAAAGAGAATTTGCAAAGGATGAATGAATTTATGATCCTGTTGGTAGAAATATTGTACCATAATGAATGTATACATATTTTGATCAAATGTAAGGACCTACCATGTTTATTTTTGTTTTCCATATCATACAATTGTGTTATCGTTTGTAATCATAGTCCATATCAGACAGTAAATAAATGAGATATTACAAGTTTGAACTTCACTCTTATATTTAATATCTCTGCAGAACTGTTAATTATATTTACTTGAACTTTGAAACTCATAGGCTTAATATAAATTTCAATAATATATATGATTTTAGCTGACTTTGAAGTGTGCCCCCTTCATCTTTATAGAAACAAAAAATAAATTTAATAGAAACAATTGGTAGAATGATTAATCAAAATAATAGTTTTTAATTTGACTTGTTGATACGTGGGATTGATATGATTTAATGCCAGCTTTCATTTTGTTGTATATAGATTTTTTTAAATGGCTAGTTGCTTCTTTGATTTTTTTTTTTTGAAAATTTTAGTATCCAATCTTATGATCGACTAATTTAAGAGGAATCAATTCAACTATCCATTAATGGGGTCCTGTTTAAAGCCAAAACAAAGTTCTATATGACCTGATCCAACACAAAGATTGTTAGCATTTAACAGGTTTCGAACTCAGTATCTTGAGAAGAGCACACTTAACAAGTTTCAAAATTATTTTTCATTTTTGTGTTTAACAGCTATTTCTATGATGTAAGATCTGTATGCAATTGAGTTGCTTCGTAGATTATGATTAAGTAGACTCTAGCATCATGTTGTTGTGCCAATATTTGAATTTGAGGTTGGTTAACTAGTAGCTAGTGTTATTACAGCGTATTTGTCAACGGTTTAGGCTTAAATGAACCTTAATTATCTCTTGAGCTAGTTTTTATACTATTTTTATGAAGACCAAAACAAATATTTAGACGTAGATTGAAAGCATATATTTAAAGTTTAAAGCACCTTTAGGTCGCTAGAGGCAATATGCGCGAAGCCACGATCTGGAATGATTTAATTATTACAAGTTACAAGTATTAGTATTAATATTATGTTATGATTAATTTGTATATATTGGTAAGTTCAAAAATGGAAAATGGATAGTTAGAGACATAATAATAGAAGTATATGGAGATAGGGAAGAGTATGGGTAGTGAAGAAATAGAGAACAAGAAGAAGGTGAAATCTCAGCGACGAGGAGGACTCCGAACACTGCCTTTCATCCTTGGTCAGTACTACTTTGAGTAATTCCTTCAATTTATTTGCTACCTTTTTCGTTTCCTTCTCAATCTTTTCCTTTTTGTCTTGGGGATATTCATCGGTTCCATATATGGTAATAGATTATTTTGCAAAATTTTAAAATTATTAAAGATCAATTTTCATTTTTTTAAACATTTAAGGAGTCACTTTAATACTTTATATATATATATATATATATATATATATATATATATATATATATATATATATATATATATATATATATATATATATATATATATATATATATATATATATATATATATATATATATATATATATATATATATATATATATATATATATATATATATATATATATATATATATATATATATATATATATATATATATATATATATATAAACATGCAAAATTTAAAAGAATAATAGTAAATTAATTTGACATTAAGTTTATACGAAGTAGAAGAGCCATTTCAAATTATTTGTTTTAATATCATTTGAAAATCTTTAAACTTAACTTTGATAAAATACTTTTCATTTTTATTTAATGATAGATTTTGATTAAATTATTTTAAAATTTTTTCAAAATGTTATTTTTTTTCAGGAGGAAATTTAAATACAATTATTTAAATATGATTTATATTATTTTCTAATAAAAATATAAAAATTTAGATACAACTTTTTAGTTGTAATTTATATTATTTTTTAATAAAAATATAATAAATATATTTAAATATCGTTTTAGAAGATAAAATACGAGAAAATTAAAAGAAAACTATATATTTATCATATTTTTATTAGAAAATAATATAACCTACATGTAAGAAATTGTATCTGAATTTTTTATTTTTTTAATTAAAATATCTTCTCCAAACCAATTAAGGCTTTCTCAATCTTTATTTTTGATTTAAGTATTTTCCTTGTGTTTGTTTAGACAAATTTAATTACAAGATTAACAATCGGATCATAAAATAGTGCCATTTTATAGATTAATTTGTGTTTTGTTTGACAAATTTTAGTTATTTCAATTATTGGTATACAAACAAAAGAATATATTATATGTGCAAGTATTATATGACAGCCAAGTTGTATCTTAATTAATTCATAAAATGACTCATCAATCTTATTATGTTATTGAAGACCATAACTCATGTGCTAGTAATATTTTAGCCATTTCTTTTGTATGTCAAGTTGTATGTACTTTAGCAAATTTCATATACATTATCTTATTTGGAAGCATTACTTTTTAATTATTAATTCATATCTTAAATAATATAAAACAATAACTTATAATACTTGATTGATAAAACTTTCACAAACATAATATAATCAAATCAAATGTATAATGCTTTATTAAACTTAGGAGATGAAAATTGATCTCTTCCAACAAATATTTTTGAAGGAATATAATTGGAAAAAAGATTATACAGAAAGAAAGAGTTGGTTCAAGAGAATGATGATAATTGTTGAAGTTAGCATTAATTTAAAAAATAGTTATAAAAGTGTAACTAATTGATGATATATGCAGCTAATGAGGTATGTGATAGATTTGCTGTAGCTGGTTTCAATGGAAACCTGATAAGTTACCTAACTCAACAACTGAATATGCCATTAGTATCAGCTGCAAACACACTCACAATCTTCGGCGGAACAGCCAGCTTCACACCTCTCATCGGTGCTCTCATTTCCGAGTCCTTTGCCGGCCACTTCTGGACCATTACCATTGGTTCAATCATCTACCAACTTGGAATGATGAGCATAACACTATCGACTATACTTCCTCACATGCGTCCTCCACCGTGTCCAACGCAGATAAATTGTCAAGAAGCAACATCCTCCCAACTATCAATGTTCTTCATCTCTCTCGCTCTTATATCGATTGGATCAGGTGGAATTAGGCCTTGTGTTGTTCCGTTCTTAGGAGAACAATTTGACATGACTAAAACAGGCGTAGCGTCTAGAAAATGGAACATTTTCAATTGGTACTTTTTCTTCATGGGAATTGCTTCTCTAACTGCTTTAACAATTGTGGTTTATATTCAAGATAATACTGGTTGGGGCTGGGGATTTGGCATACCGACCATTGTTATGTTTTTGTCCATTGTCGCCTTTGTGTTCGGCTCACCCTTTTATAAAACTCAGAAACCTAAAGGAAGCCCTTTGGTTCGTTTGGCCCAAGTTATTGTTGCGGCCCTGAAAAAGAGGAACCAGGTTTTACCAAATGATCCCAAACATTTGTATCAAAATAGAGAGGTTGATGCTGGTATTTCTTTTGAAGGAAGACTTTTACATACAAATCAATTTAAGTAAGTCAAATGACTCTAAACGAAACCACTGGTTTATGGTTCAATCTCTGGCGGTAACATTTATTAATATAAACAAGTTATTGATATTTATAATTCAATCCAAAATTTTGGATTACGAACAACCACTAATTTGTTGAGTTATATATACAGATGGTTGGACAAGGCTGCAATCGTCACAGGCGGAGACGACCTAGAACAAAATGCACCACCGAATTTTTGGAAATTAGTTACTGTCCATAGAGTTGAGGAGCTAAAGTCAATCATTAGAATCCTTCCGATTTCCGCATCAGGAATTTTACTTATAGCCGCTTCAGCACACCTGCCAAGCTTTGTCATCGAACAAGCGCGAACAATGGATCGTCATCTCTCACACACATTCCAAATTTCGCCCGCCAATATGTCAATTTTCAGTGTAATAACTATGATGACAGGAGTTATTCTATACGAGCGTCTTTTCATTCCCATCGTCCGTAGATTCACAAACAATCCGGTCGGAATCACGTGCATACAAAGAATGGGAATCGGCTTTGTAATCAACATTATAGCTACATTAATCTCAGCACCTGTTGAAATCAAAAGAAAAGAAGTTGCTGCTAAGTACAACTTATTGGATGATCCGAAAGCGATTATTCCTATCAGTGTGTTTTGGTTGGTGCCTCAGTATTGCTTTCATGGACTTGCTGATGTTTTCATGTCTGTTGGACTTTTTGAGTTTCTATTTGATCAAGCACCTGAGAGTATGAGAAGTAGTGCTACTGCTATATATTGTGTAATTATAGCTATTGGAAGCTATGCTGGTACATTTATAGTGACACTTGTTCATAAATATAGTGGCAAAGAAAGGAATTGGTTGCCTGATAGGAACCTTAATAGGGGTAGATTGGAGTATTATTATTATCTTGTTAGTGGTGTTCAAGTTCTTAATCTCATTTATTTTGGAATTTGTCTTTGGTTTTATACTTACAAGCCTTTGGAAGAAATTGCTGAAATCAGTAAGGAAGACGATTTGGAACAGGTTGATGCAAATATCTTGGCTTCCAATTTAGAAGAGAAAGTTTAGAAGGAAAAAAAGCTAGTGATGTATTGTTCATAATGGTTGATTTGTATTATTGGAGACTTTGATTGTTCAATTTCTCTACAAGTGACTTATATAATAAGAAGGAAATGTAGAGTTTAGAGTGTATTTCCTTTTTCCCCCTTTTTTCCAAAGGTGCTTTTATTAGAGTGATGGTTTCATTTTCTTAAATAGTAATGTAATTGTAAACTATTTTGGTTATAGCAACTATGATATTGTGTATGATCATTTCTATTTCATTCTTATTACTTCAATTCCTCCATTAATAATCATGTTAATAAATTGTGGTTTGGAACTGCAATCGCAATCGCAATAATACTGATGTGGTAACTTTGCAATCGTATCAGACTGTAATTAAGGTGAGATTTAAAACTATACGTGCACTCATTTTAAAAATTACATTAGACATTATTTATTTTAATGATTATTTCAAATACTTCTCTATCAAAGTTTATGTTACAACCGCCACAATGAACACAATTCATTGCAACACTAACCAGCACAATTGTATCCGCATCCACAATTTAAAATCAAGGTAATGATATTTAAATACTTTTTTTCTTACACCTGGAACATATTAAAATATGGTTAATTAAATTATATAAAATAATTAATTATGATAAAGGTATTTGGGAAGAGTTATTACAGTTTTTAGAGCAACATTAAGAGATGGTGTTTAGTGGGAGACTTCAGCTCCATCAAAAACGAACAAGAAAGAAAATCACTTTCGGCTTTCCATCGTCAGACTGAAATGAGACAATTTGATGAACTCATAATTAGATCAGAGGCGGTTGATTTATTTCTAATAGGATGATTTAACTAGGTCAAATCTAGAGGTGATTTTATGAGTCGTATTGATAGATTCTTAATCTTGGAAGAATGGATTCCTCATGGCTTGAATCTTCACAATGAGCCCTAGATAGAGAATTATTCGACCACTGCCTAATTCTTATGAAAGAGTTCATGTGAGATTGGGTCCCAAACCTTTCAAGATGCTGAGATGCATGAGAGAAATCGAGGCGTACAACAAAATGGTTAAAGAAGTCTGGAGTAGTTTGAATTTTGAAGGATGGGGAGGATATGTTCTTACAGAAAAGCTGAAAGCTATGAAGACAAAGCTCAGGTACTGGCATAAAAACCACTGCCAAAATCTAGGTGAAAAATTAGAGATTAAATAAGAAATAAGAAGGTTTGAATTAAAAGGAGAGGATTCAGAATTGTCAGATACAGAAAAGGAGATACTGATGGAATGCAATGATAAACTTTTCCAAATATCATTGTTACACAACAATATCCACCATCAAAGGTCAGGGAAAATTTGGCTAAAGGATGGCGATGCAAATTCAAAATTCTTTCATGGATGCATCAATCAAAGACGAAGACAAAATGGGATTATCAACCAAGAATCGAATGGTGAGAGTATATCGATCGAGGAAGTGAAGAACGGAATCTGCTAGCACTTTGAAAAGCAGTTTGGAATGAAAAGCAAAAATGTTGTCTTGCTAAAAAAATTTACCTTCAAAATAATCTCAACTAAAGACAACCAACTTCTTGTTTCCGAATTTACAAAGGCAAAAATAAAATCGACAATATGGGATTGTGAGAATACAAAAAGCTCGGGCCCGGACGAAGTCACTTTTGATTTTATAAAGTAATTCAGGGAAGAGGTTAAAGGTAATTTTACTAGATTCATCTTAGAATTTCATTTGAATGGTAATTGGTGTTATTACATTATGTTTTATCCTTTTGTTCTTCAAAGTCCCATAAAGTATGAAATTCTAGTATAGCAAAATCAGATGTCTTATAAGATGTCAAGACATCTGGTTTGTTACAAACAACATGATAAGGAATAAACAGTTAAAAAAAGATACTGAAAAGTAAAGTGCACACAAAAATGTTAACCCAGTTCAGAACAACCTTTCTACTCTGGGAGCATACCAAGCCAGGGACCAATCCACTAATAGTAGTGTCAATTCATAGATCCTACAACAAACATACCAGTTTACAGTCTAATCACTTAATCACTATCCTCGCTAGATTTCTATCTAAGACTCACCTAGATATGAGGCACTCCTCAATCAATCATCAATCACAGACAGCGATTGGACAATTCTAAGACACTTAGAAAAACAAGAAGACACACTTCTATGATGAGAAAACTCACTTTTATGACGAGCAGGAAGATACACTTCCCTCTAAACTCAGCCAAGACTCTTGATTAAAAACACCAACTTGGAGTTGATTAAAAGCTTCCTCCAAGAACAATACTCACTCTTGCTTCACAGCTTCGAGGAGAACAAAGTGGCAATCTCACAACCCGAGTGATTCACTTGCACCAACTCTCCTAGAGAGTGGAAACAGACTCAGTCCTAATGACTACATCTTGATAATTCACAGTCGGCACTTAATCCTAGGTTATAATGTTTCTATTTATAACCCAGTACCCAACTAGATTTGGGCTTCTAATCACAACAAATATGTCGTTACAAATTTGCAGAAGACTCTGCTACAAAATAGGTCTTCAATTAAATCTTCCTAATTAATCTCCAAAATTAGAAATTTAATATTCTTCCTGATTCTGACTTGAATCTTCCAGACCTAATAAGACAGCTCTACATATGATTGCGTAATATTCCAAGAATATTTGCATATGTTAAATCATAACAGAAACGTTTAATCCAGCTGTACAAGTCACGATATCACATCAACCTGCATAGAACATCTTTTTCGACATGTTGCTCCAGGTGATGAGACATCTCATCTTAACATGTTTCTTCATTAAAATAGAACTTCAACCCGCTTTCTCCTACAAGTTACAAATTCTATTTAACATGTTGATGCTATATTAGTTTTACCAAATATAATGTCAATCTAAATAATACAGAATTAACAGTCTCCCCCTTTGGCTTATTTTGGATAAAACTAATTTACATAACCTTTGCATACAAAAGCATAAAAAATACAAGGGTTTAAACAACACAACTCAGCAGCAGCAAATTACAGAAGCATATCAGACCAGTCACAGTCTTTGGTCTTTAATCTTTATATATGATAGTATTCAGTCATGATGTTGCAACATCATACTAGGACTTCTTGGTAGTCCACCATTAATGTTCTCTCTCTCTCTCTCTCTCTCTCTCTCTCTCTCTCTCTCTCTCTCTCTCTCTCTCTCTCTCTCTCTCTCTCTCTCTCTCTCTCTCTTAAGGGATTCAACATTGTTGTACCCCAAAATTTTCCCTCCCATTTCCTCAACATTTTCTCATCACAAGACCCTTGAAGATCAAGATCCAATTAGGGTTTCCTCTGCTCAAGACTTCTCCTTGCACTGTTGACCCAAATTAGGGTTTGTGATTGCACCAAGACATTTTGACCTAAAATGCCTAAGATGACTTTCATACTTCATGTTGGACTCCCAAGTTTACCTATACCAAGTTTCAAGTCTTGATTCCAAGTTTTGCCCAGTCAATTGGACAGTTGACCTAGAAATCAACTGTATTGGGGAAAAAGTCAACTGTGGCCAATTGACAGTCAAATCTCATGAAAATTGATCCACACCAACATTATAAACTCATATGGACCATTTGATCAAGTTTGGATCACAATTCCACAAGAAATTTGACCAGATCACCAAAAGGGGCAAAATGGTCATTTTTAGGGTTTTGACTGCACAAAGGCAATTTGTGACTGTTTGACCTAGCCAATGGCAAACCAAGCTCACATATGGACTCAAAGACCCCATGTAATTGTCTTGACATGCTCAACAAGTTCAAAAGATCCCAAATGCACAAGATTGATAGTTGAATTTCCCAGTCAATTGATCAATTTTGACTGTATACTGAAAAGTCAAACTTTGACTTTTTGGTCAAAATCAAGGGTCAAGATTCATTTTTCATCAAAACATGCCAAATCATGAAACTTGTTCATCAAGAAATCAAGAAATGCAAATTAGGGTTTGAAATGGAGATTTTTCATAACTTAGAATTTTTCTAAGTTATGAAAAACCCTAATTTTTTCCTAACTTTGCCCCACTTTCTCACCAAGATTCATTTGGATTCAAGCAAAAGTCAAAACATGAAAGTTGTAGCCTATTGCATAATCTACAACTTTGATTCACAAAGTTTTCCCAAAAGAGGCATGTATCTCAAGTTACAACTTTTGGAACAAGGGTGCCAAACCATTCTTGACTTAGTGAAATTTTGACCTTTTTAGGCAAGATTTTTACCTAACTTCAAGACCATTTTTCACATACTTCCACTTGGAATTTCAATTTTCACTTCAAAGATGGATTGTAGTACACATTCCAAGCTTTCCAAAATATCCAAGAACTCATCAAACAACCTCATGACTTGAGAGAATCGAATTTTCCAATATGGCAAAAAGTCACTTTTGTTCTTGACCAAGACATGTTCATACACATTGCCATTTTCAAGTCAGCTTGGTTTATGCTACATTACAGGCCTCTAAACCATCCAACACTCAATAATTTAATGCATACTCATTGTGCCAAAGCCTTATTTTGTGTATCCAAGCATTGTATGCAAGATTAGGCCATAAATGGAAAAAGTGAAATAGCCATTTTTGCAAAAGCAAGCTTTATGTCATAATGCAAATCCAAGAAGTACAGATCAAATCCCCTTGGCACAAGTTTAGGGACTAATCACACTGATCAATGCCAAGGTTTGCAGCATGTTTAGGGGTCCTCTACCTGTCTAGAACAAAACTTGACCATTGCTTGCTTAAAGTTCAAGAAACACATCATAACATATACCAACTTTCATCTCAGCACAAGCAAGCCTAAGAAAAGTTATCAAACATATCCTAAACATCAAACACAAGCTAGAACACGAGCCAACCATCCCCAACACCCTCTCATTCCCAGAATTACCTTCAAACTGCCCAAACAGAGTAACCTCTGCAGATTGAGTTCCAACTCTCATCCCTTTCATGCTTTCTTGCTAAAAGCTCATCAAACACATTCCCTAGCA